TTTACAGTTATTTGGCTCAGCACCAGGAAAATGCAATGATTAAAGCATAGATCTCACCCTCAAAATAGTTCATAATCTAACACAAGTGAAAGACAAGTAAGAATCAAAACTCAATGTTCTGAACTTCATAAAAGAAGCTCATGGAGGTCCAACGGAGTTCCTTGTTACACCCTTAGTGATGACACCAAGGATTCACTACAACAAAAGTACAGGCATCTGCTGCAGTGATAGCAGCATATAGAAGCCAGAGGAAGGTGCATGTGCAAAAACACAGAGGCTGGAAGAGTGAGGCACATATGGAGGGTGGCTGAGATCATTGTGGGGGAAGGTAGGAGGAAGCGCAGCTTATGAGAGCAACATATACATGAGGCTGGCAAGGCCAGCAGGCCCAGGTCACAGGGGTCCAAGGAACACTTTGATGGAGTCCTTTGTCTTCAACATGTATGAAAAGTCACATGAACAAACAAATGAAAGAACTAAAAGAAGATAGGGATAAGCTTCTAAATGAATTCACAAGAGATAGAAACATTGAAGAAAACTTGGGCAAAAATGAAGAAGGAAGTGCAAAACTCAATAAGCTAACTTGAAACAACAGGGGAAAGCCTCACCACTAGAATCAATGAAATGTAAAATGGAATATCAACACTGGAGGATAAAGTTGAAGAATTGGACCACTCAAGCAAAAACTATGGAAAATTTTTTAAAAACACAAGAATGGAATATGCAAGAGATGTGGGACACATGAAAAAACAAAATCTGTAGGTCATAGGAATAGAGGAAGAAGAATTTCAGATTAATGGTGTTGACCAGATCTTAAACAGGATTGTAGAAGAAAATTTCCCGAAATTGAGGAAAAACATTCCCATACAAATACAGGAAGCACACAGAACACCAAATAGGATCAGAAAAGAAACGCCCCAGGACATATCATAGTAAAACACTAACTGTACAGAACAAAGAGAGAATACTGAAAGTAGCAAAAGAAAAACAAGTAACATACAAAAGAAAGCCCATCAGAATTACAGCTGACATATCAATGCAAACTATGAGGGCCAGAAGAGCCTGGACCAAAGTAGATGCCAGCCCAGAATACTTTACCCAGAAAAAAATGTCTATTATAATTGAGGGGGAAAGAAAAATGTTCGATGACACGAATAACCTGAAAGAATACATGTCCACAAAACCAGCCCTTCAAGGAATACTTGAAGCAATACAGAGAGTGGAGAGAGAAACAAGTATACCCCAGGGGTAACAACAGAAAATAAATAAAGGTGTAATCGAGGAAACACAAAATTAGTCAGAGAACACAAACAGCAATCAAAATGACGGCAACAAATACACATCTTAAAATAATAACCTTAAATATCAATGGACTGAACTCCCCGGACAAAAGACACAGGCTAAGTGAATAGAATAAGAAATAAAATCCATTTCTTTGCTGTCTGCAAGAACCCCATCTCACCTTCAAGGACAGGCACTACCTTAAGGTAAAAGGATGGAAAAAAGTATTCCAAGCAAATGTCACTAAGAAACAAGCAGGGGTTGCAATCCTAATATCTGACAAAATAGACTTCAAAGTAAAACTGATCAGACGAGATAAGAAGGGTCACTTCATTCTGATTAAAGGATCAGTTAACCAAGATATTACAACCCTCAACATATATGCACCAATCTCTGGTGCATCCAAATTCATAAAAACAACTCTATGGGACTTTAAGACACAGATTAACCCCAACTCAGTAATAGTAGGGGACTTCAGTACCCCACTGCCTCCATTAGACAGGTCAACTGGACAAAGAATAAGCAGAGAGATGTCTGAATTAAATGATACTATACATCAAATGGACCTAACACACATCTTTTGAATATTCCACCCAAGTACCAAAGAATACAGTTTCTACTCAGCACCCCATGGAACTTTTTCAAAAATTGATCACATACTGGACCACAGAACAAACCTCAACAAATACAAAAAAAATGAAATAATCTCATGCATATCAGACGATATACAATAAAGCTCAAAATCAACACTGGACAAAGCCCCAGTCACTAAACAAACTCATGGCGATTGAACAACACACTGTTAAACAATGAGTGGGTCAAAGGAGGAATTAAGAAAGAAATAAAAGAATTCCTGGAACGCAATGAAAAGGACAATACAACACAACACAACCTCTTTAAAAGCAGTCCTAAGAGGGAAGTTTATAGCTCTAAGCACCTACATTAAAAAATTAGAAAGAGCCCAAATAAATGACCTAGCACTGCAACTCAAGACCCTGGAAAGGCAAGAACAAATGAAACACAAACCCAGAAGAAGAAAAGAAACAACAAAAATCAGAACAGAAATCAATCAAATAGAAATAAAAAAACCAATACAAAGAATCAATGAATCTAAGAGCTGGTTCTTTGAAAA